GAGTTGTGTTTAGCTATTCTAGTAACGGTCTACCTTTGTACATATGGGTACATAAAGTTGTTTTTTATACATATGGTGAGAGGCGCTCGCCCTCCCCTCCTCACGCTTCACACTACGAGGGTTTAGTGCGGAGCTTTGTGGGAGTCGCTGTGGGGGCCCGGGGACACCCTCACTCGGAGGTCTGTGGGCGAGGGGCAGTGGGGGGGCGAGGGGGTCACCGAGGGACGCAAGAGGCTGACCCTCCCCGCCTCCCCCAGGGACACGCCTTCGTCGTCGGGGTCCCTGCCCCCCGACGGTGACAGCAAGCGCACGTCCGTCGGCAGGAGGCGGCCGGCGTCGAACTTGCCTCCCTCTGCCTTGAGCAGCTCTGGCCGGTCGAGTCTCAGCGCCTCCTGTCTCAGCAGTTCGGGTCTGATGGCTTCCGGTCTGAGCGCCTCGGGTCTGAGGGCGTCGCGCAGGGGGTCCGAGGCGGGCACGGGCGGCAGGATGGGCAGGCCGGGCGGGTACAGGCGGTAGGCCAAGGGCTTCTGGAGGGCGGCGGCGGCGGCGGCTTGGCGGTAATACAGGTCCACGGAGGCGGCGGCGGGGCTGAGAGCGGCGGCGGCAGCGGCGGCGGCGGCGGCTGAGGACGGCTGGGGCGGGTACGGCCACCCGTACGCGGGGCCGTAGAGCCTCTGGAGGGCGGCGTAGTTGCCTGCTTCGGCCAGCAGCTCGAGCCCCACGGCCGTCTGGCGCTTCCACTTCGTCCTGCGGAAGAGGTCGGTCAGTAAGATTTTTCAGCTGAGGTTCTTTACCTTCCTATCTCGCTTAGATCCAAGGTCGTGCGTCCATATTTACAGACACAACGTCCTCACACATTTGATTTATATCCCTGCTTTCTATAAGTAGAAAAAAGTAACCTAACGTAACTGCTATATATATCTTCCACACGGAGCAAATAGAAACGAACCATAGCAACAGACTTGATACTTTTCTCTCCTTCCCATTCATTACCGAATTTGCACCGTAACACCTGTGCAAATGAATCATAACCAATTAATTCTGCCTAATGGATCACACTCCCTGTCCTTTACCATATGCATCCCAGATAAAAAGTTATCGATCCCCCCTACCTGGACAGCATTCATGTATAGGGAACCATTTTCGCCGGAAATCGTAAAGTGATAAAGGGGTCCAGTTTGGGCCGGCGATTTACACACACTAATCACGCCACGGCATTCTCTGCATTTTCCTATACCTCTTGTTATTGACTGAATAAATGCACTTCGGTCTGAGTGGGGGATGGAATAGCTAATCACATAAGTATAAAGTTCCACGCCAGATTGCTGGATTGGTGAATAAAGGGATAAATCCATCGAGTTTTATAGTATTTACGTATCATGGTATTGGCGATTTGGGCAAGCAATTATTTCGTTAGCCATAAAAATTGGGTGAGTACATGTCGAATGTATAATTCACCTATAGTGTCCTTCATTTTAGTTAACGTAGAGTGATTGATTTCATAATGCTTCTAAAATGAATGCATAAAAAATGGAGCTTATCGTTTGTTTATTTTTATTAGATTTTTATTTATTGTCTTGTTCATATGATGATAATTGTTAATGTGGCTTCTTGTTCATGTTCTTCTTTAGTGTTTGCATGCCTGCAATAATTGCATGTTTTTTTTATTCTTTTAAGAGCCATCATGATCTACATGAAGCAAGCAAATAATGGCCTCTCGCTCTCTCTTCTGTCATTAACGTTGACAAATTTAAAATGTTTTGTGTAACAAAGCTATTAATCTTCTCTTATTTCTCGATTCGTATTTTCTCTCTCTCTTCTTCTTCTAGCTCTCGAGGGAACTATCTCTCTCTCTCTCTCTCTCTCTCTCTCTCTCTCTCTCTCTCTCTCTCTCTCTCTCTCTCTCTCTCTCTCTCTCTCTCTCTCTCTCTCTTCCCCCCCTCTCTCTCCCTCTTCTCTCTCTCTCTCTCTCTCTCTCTCTCTCTCTCTCTCTCTCTCTCTCTCTCTCTATCTATCTATCTATCTATCTATCTATCTATCTCTCTCTTTCTTTCTCTCTCTCACACACACGCGCGCGCGCGCATATGTGTGTGCATTTTTTTCTCCCCCCTCCCCCCTCCCTTTTTCCCTGTCCCCTCCCCGGTCTCCCTCCCTTCTTCAACATTCCTTCTCCTCCTCTCTCCTTCATTCCTTCTCCTCCTCTCTCCCTCATTCCTTCTCGCCTCACCTTCTGTTCTGGTACCACGTCTTGACCTGCGTGTCGGTGAGGTTGAGCTTGGCCGCCAGCTCCATGCGGTCCTGCACGCTCAGGTACTTCTGCCGCTCGAAGCTCTTCTCCAGCGTCTGCAGCTGGTGGTCCGTGAACGCCGTCCGCGCCTTCCGCTGCTTCTTGACGGCGGGTCCTGCGTCGTTGCCTGGCGGGAGGGAGGAGTCGTTATGCAACAGGGCTTGTGGGGTTGCAATGGGGTAGGGGGGGAAGGGGGTGAGGAGAGGAGATGGA